AATTGCTTTCTCGCCCACCGTATTCTCCAGATTTAGCTCCCAGTGACTTACTTGTTTCCAATCTTGAAAATATAGTTCTAGGGAAAGAGATTTGTATCAAATAATAAAATAGAATGCGAAACTAAGCTATATTTTGGAAAACTTTATAAACCGTATTATATAAAAGGTATCGAAATTTTGATCAGTACACGTTTTACCTATATTTACATATATTAGTTAAAAATGCTAGCAAACCTAATCTATATAGATAGAGAAGTACCGGTGCAGGCAATTACCTCAAACTACACTATTTTTTAAAATGTTCTAAAGGCGACTTCAATTATTAGAGCTATAAAGAAATAGATAATAGTGAAGTGAAATAATTTAATCAACTAAAAAATTCATTTACAAAATATTAAAAAAACGTGATATGCAAAATTTATTCTGAAATGTAAGAACTATAGAAGCATTATATTATAAGTATACTGACATACATTATACATAGTCTACCAATAACACACGCATTTAGTATAAGAATTACTCTAAACAATATATACAGAAAATTTAGGAAAGATGCGAATGATATCAGCAGAAAATTTATGGGAGATAAGAACGAACACAACTTTGGTGCACCTTCTAAAATGATTGATGACACAAAAATTTTGAAAGTCAGAAGATGTCTTACTAATAGAAACTCAATCCCTATTTAAATTCAATAAAAGCGCTGACGTCCTTATGATATTTACTAAAAATTTATATAGAGATTAATTTCCATATAGTACAGCTCTATCAGCATTCTTCTCTATAAACCTTCTTACAAGTATGGTGTGAATGTTGTCAATGAGGTAGTATCTTGACCTTAAAGTATATATTTACTTAAAGTTATGGACTGATATACTGAAACTACTTATATAAAAAAGTTTAAAATTTATTATAAAATAGATATATAGTAAGTCGCCAGTTGCCAGCAGCACAGTAATATAGATCACCATTCATTCAGGCATTCATTCGTCTGTTGTGAGAATTGTTTTAGTTATATAGATTTTTACATGATATACTACGCTTATAATTATTATAACTTCTGTTAAATGAGTGAAAAATATTTTATTTAATTTAATTTTTCAAAATTATACTTTCCATACCTATATTTCATTTTGAATCGCTAACAAATCCATGGTCTCTAATCAATTAAAATCAAATTTTTATATTCTATTAGTTGCTACTATTAATTTATTCACTAATTTATATAATTAACATAATATATTGAATTAAGCTGCTAAAAGTACACTTCTTCACATTCTTGCCAGTCTCTTAATATAAATTATCTGTGTCACATTATTTATAAGATCGTCTTAATTTCAACACACCAATGTGTGTAGAGAGCAAAGTATAGTGTCATCAAATAGTGACCCTTATCATTGTAATTACAATTTCGCAGCACAAACATCTGTATGAATATAATGACCACAAAGAGCCGTAGAGTCATAGAGCCCATTGACAAAAGCCATGAATAGAATTATAACACTTGATTAACCCTTTGATATGTCATCACGTTGACATTGAGAAAAACCAGTCAGACAAAATATGTCATATCTGCCAGACAATAAATTGAAATTATTTGGGATTTCTATGCAACCTTCCCATATAAGATGCGAACACTCCCACACAACACACCACCAGTCCATCGCCACAAGTATTGGTTTTTCATAACGAATTTAGCTAGTCGCGTTCATACATTTTTGAAATGCCGGGGTCAGGGCTACGACGTTTGTGCCAGCTGACAACTTGTCAATGGCAAATAAAGAGAAAAGTGTTTGTGGCATGTTAATTACACTGTAAAATATATTCACATATGATAATATATATATTCAATTCACACACTAATATTATTTACAAAATCATTTAACTGTAATTTAACAGAAACTTAATTTCAATTGAAGACTGACACAGTAGACAAACGACATTTTGATTGATGGCAACATTTTAGGAAGTGAATTTTCTTGGCTTGTATCTGATTTGTAAGTTGTGCTAATATTTTAATGTTAAAACCTTAATTACATATATTTACAAAGCATTAATCAATTTTATTACTGTAAGTATATGAAAGTTATTTCCATCAAATAGAAACTTGTTCCAACGAACATTTTAATTACTTTTATATCAAATTGTAGAACAGCTCCGTTTGTCAAACTAATAATAAAAATAATATTTAATTGCTTAAAATATTGTTATTTGAAATTAATATTATAATTTATTGATATTTCAACTAATTTCAGTTTTGAAAGCCGGCGAAACAACAGTTCACTATGATGTCATGCACATAGCACCACTAAACCCTCAATACGAATAGTATGTATGTATATGGATGCTGGCATACATAAAGTTTGCACTATAGTGTATACTATACCTACTTAGAATTCAATAATTAAAAAAAAAAAATAAACAATATTTGTTTGTATAAAAATTACAAATAGAACACTTTGTAATACTTCATGGTACAAAATTAATAATTTATTATTAAAGGCAACCATACACCACAACTAATCTCATTAGATATATCGTGTTATCTCTGGAAAAAGAACCTTAAGCCAAGCTGGATACGATAAAGCGGTTAATAAAAAAATATTCCTTCTTTCAAAAGGAAACTAAAGACACCAAATGAAGTTAGTGAACCGCATACGAAGCGATTTAGCCAAATGATTTAGGCATTTATATTAATACAATACAACTTTATAAATGAATTATCACGCATTTATAAAAATTGTGCCTTATAGCAAATGAGAATTATATATTCCCATACACGGGAGTAATTCAGAGTAATTCATTCACACAGTTATTTTATTTTAATATAAATGCCTAAATCAATGAGTAGTTAAAACCATTAAATTGATGAGTTCGATACCGATCTAATAATATGGTTTCGAAAAGCTCCATTCCATTTGGGAAATAATTTAATACCAAATAATACAACAATAATATTCTTATTCCATATTGTTTAATAATATGGCTTTATAAAAGTTATACAAAATAATTTTTAATTCTCATTAATTAAAGAGGGAAGTATTTTCCGGAAACGAAATTATTATATTTTAATATAGACTTACGGACCTATTCTGTGCACTTTATAAACTTGTCAAACATTGACACTTGTCAAACATTGACACTTGTCAAAATTGACTGCTGTAAAGGTTTTGGTATTCTGTGACATAAATAAAAAGCTCTTTTCCTTGTTAGTTGTCAATACTACAAATGCTGTTGACAACTATTAAAATATGCTCTTTTTAAGTATTTTTTATTTTTTGCATGCATGACAAATATTCTTAACTAAAATATACGCTCTTTACAAGCATATTTTTTATTGTTAATTGAATGCATGAAAAAATGCTTTTGCAACTTAAAATATGTGCTCTTTACAAGCATTTTTTTACGAAACAGTTTACGAACAATTACGAACAGTTTTCTATACAAAACACTTTACACCATAGTGTGGTGAGAAGCACTAGGTACTTGAGCTTTGAAATTTGTCAAGATGTGTCCAGAATACCAAAAAGCTTTCTGTTTTATAAAAATCAAAAATTTTATTAAAGAATTTGACAAATCTGTCAAGTGCACAGAATAGGTCCGTTAATGTTATGTAAATAAAGTTAACTTGTTTAGAACTTAAAATCATTAAACTAATGAATTTTTTGGCGTCATGTGGTAGCCATACCTCGGAACAGTGATATTAATTCAATTACTCAAAGAATCACCAAGATCTCTACGATTTAAAAACTAATATTTCTGAAGTTATGTCCTTATAGCACATTCAACTAATGGCTTTTTTAAAACAAAACAAGAAATTTAGTCCGAAGCTCATTCCAATAATTTTTTCAGTTTATGATTATCATTATTATTAGTAGTTACTACTTATTCATTTCTTACATATTTTCTTCCTCGACTTTCGACTTCTCTTAAAAGGAGTATTATTTAAAAATAACTTTCTAAGAAAGGTTCATTTAATTTAGTTACAATACTTTTCATCCCAAATTTATTCAACACACCATAATTGATTACGAAACATGTGTCGGCCAAGAAAGTGTTAGTATCACCTTTTAGGTCCATAAGGAATTTGATTTGTAGATTACTCCTAAACCGACAAATCAATAAACTCCATAAAGATGCTATAAGGATACATTCATTAGCTACTAGCTTCGTGAAAAATATGATATTTCCAAAAAAATCGTTTTCCATCAAGACACTGCACCTATTCACACAGCTCTAAAAATCATCCTTAAATATTGAATTAATGTATGAATTGTTATAATCACCAGCCCATTCATTGAACTTAGGTCCATCTAAAAAATAATATAAGGAAAATTTTGAAAGTCTGATTTAACAAGACGGTTTGGTGGTTATAATTCAAAATAAAAATTAAGTTAAGGAAGTGTTTAAGCGTTCTTTCTAGGTCACTATAATGTTTTTAGTAAAATCTTCAATAGATTGCTTTTTCAATGATCCCTTTTGACTGATTGTGGAAAAGAGCATGCAATTTTGCTAATTTAATTGTATCAAAGTATTACTTTCAGTTTCTATCAGTTACAACCGCATAAATATTCCAGTACTATATTTTTGTAAAATAAAGGAATTCTTCCATCACTATTTCCATTTAAAAAATAATGTGTGGAAATCTACAGTTAACAATGAATAGATATAGGCAAATTAGCACCGCGTTATCGAATCTCGGCATGGTTACAGGCTTCTCAGGAGGTATGCAGATCTGAGGTCAATTATTGCTTAGTCTGATGAAGTGATAAACAATAATCCAGTCAAGGCGTAAAGAGGGGTTTTGAAATTACTTCCCAGTTAATACAGAGTTAAAGTGCTTAAGTGCACTGGCTCAAATAGCTTTAACATAATAATAAAATATAGCTTACTTCTACAAGATGATATATATTATATTTATATATATTTATTATAAATTATTATATATTGTTTCAAAATAACATTTTATTTTTAACATTTACATTTCATGCAAAATATATATTATTTTATTATTCAGTAACGACCGAAAAATTTTGAAATAAGCATTTTACTTTCAGTTTTATGTACTTTTACTTCATCCCTTAAGGATTTAAAATTATTGATGTATATATTAAAGCAGTGTTAATCATTATGGTCAAAGTTTCCTCACCGATATTTTTAAGTGGATAAATAATCATATCACCGCTTCTTGAACACTTTTCATTAGACCGACAAAATTCATTACCGATGTTATTACCTTTATTGCAGCAGTTTCTATCGTATCTAGTTTAAGGTTGAAATTAATGGTAATATTTTTTAATGATTTCCTAGTGAATAAATAACTGGAGATGAAGCAGATTTTTTGCCGTTAATATCTTTTGTTGTCGAGGTGTTAATAACAGACAATTTCCAGTTTCGAGCACCTGTAGTGGAGTCAATACTTTAGTAATTGGCAAAATTGATCCTGTTATAACGACTTGATATTCAGGATATCTTCCAGTATTTTTCCAGGCTACTAAAGTCATATTAGTTGGATATTTACCAGTTTCTAGGCCAGACACCCAAATGAGAAGAAATTTCAGATCGCTATTTTGTTTTATTTCTTCTGACTGCATTATATCACTTAAACGAAGAACTGAGGTCATTATTAGCAGAGGTAAAGAATCGTTATATGTATTATGTCCTAATTCAGTAATTCTTTCCTGCAAAAGAAAGAGCATTCGAACTTTAGGAACATCAACGAAAGCAACACGTACATCAATAAAGAAATTTTTAACATTTCTTGGATACACACGTTCCATTGGTAGGTGATTATGATCTACTAGCAAATGCTTTGTAAAATCGGATAAAAATGTCTTGTATATGCAATCAGTATCTGGACAAGAAATCGGGCTACGCCATAAGTTCATTTCGTAGGAAGACATATTATTTGGCATAACACGTTCTTTTACTAATCTAGAAAGAGTGGCAGGATCATTGGATGGATGACTTATAATTCTAAATTGCCATGCTGCAGGAGTTTGATCAATGAGATCACTATTCATGAATCTAACAAACGGACCCGCAGAAGGATTATAATAAGCCCTTACTGCACGGGATACTAGTTTAGCTATATTCTTATGATCACAATTATTTTCAACATCATGACGAATGTGACATGTCAATTTTTGCTGTCTTATATTTAATTCCTCAATAACTTTTGAATATCTATCGAAAAGATGCTTAGCTTCGATTTTTATTATTTCTTCATCAGTTCGCTTTGTTTCTTCCATATCTGTCCTAACCGTTGTCATTTGGAACATTGGCTTTTTAATAACAGTTATTTCATTAGGTCTGTGTGACTCTTTAATTATTTCATCATCTACAACGTCTTCATTCATTGTTTTTAATATTGCTCCCATACGTTTATCCATAATCTCCTCTGCACATTTCTCGGACTTTGTTGAAATGCAGTGCTCTTCAGTTAATTCATGCAAGACCAGAATTTTTCTTTGATTTATTATTTGTTCTTCTCCCACATTTAAACTTGGAGCCGAGTCTGTGGAAACACTAATGGATCGTTGTTCCCTGAACTTAAAATTATTACACTCTGCTCTGTAACAAATTTTATCTTGAAGTACAGAACTTGCATTTTCTAAATAATTATTTAGACTGTCACTAACATTACAAGCTTCATACTCAGGTATCACAATAGAACTCTGTAAATATTACAAAGAATTAAAAGTGAAAAAGTATATTAGAAATTTCTTACCTCGGTGGAACTAGTATCGTAATTTGTGCTGAGTTTTATATTTTCCATACAGACGTCAGATTTGGTTTCCGTTCTACTCGTCATAAACAACAATGTTACATTATCTGACAATGCTTCTTCGATTTTATCAATTTTCTGCACACTATCGACTTTATTGTCCACGGCAGTTATTTTTGCTTCTTTTAATTCGGGTTCAGCTGTGGGCTTGGCTGTTACCATCGTTGTTGGACTTACAGATAGAATGATGGGTTCAGGAAATGAATTAATGGAATCAGATTTCATACTTTCATTGTTAGTAACAATTTGATTAATTGAGGGAAATACTATAGTGGATTTTTTCGCTACTTTAGCTAGCAAAGCATCATTTTCTAACTCGAGAATTCGATTTCTCATCAATAAGCAATCAACAAAATGCTTGGTATATCCTATATCGTTAAAATGTAAATTTGATGGATTTTCACTTATTTTCATGGTAGAATTTTCAGTTTCTTTATTTGAGTTTTGAATAAGTTTTTGGATGCTTTTTTCTTTTTCATCTGGCATTTTATCAGAGGTAACTGCACTTTTCGTATCTTGACCAGGGATATGTATATCTACTACTGCATTGGCTTTTTGATTAGTTACGGATTGCTCTGGTGGAGAGTATATTACCTGAGGTTCTTGGGAGGTTAAACTAAAAGTTGATGTTGACTTCTTATCAACTGTTATTGGTGTTTCCGGTTGTTTAGGTACAGTGTTGTCATGATTTGATAATTTAATTGCTTCAGTCAGTTGAGTAATTTTATCAGACAGCATCTGATTACTCAACTCCAACTGTTCAGTTTTTAATAATAAACGACTGTACGATGGATCCGAAGTAACGTTTTTGTCTTTTGAACTTAAACTGATATTGCTATTATCCACCACGTTTGTTGCTGGTATCTTTGGATCATTAATAGCAACAGCATCAGTTGAACATATTTTCTTTGGAATTACTTCCTGAATTTTAGGCTGATTTGAAGGAGCTGCACCACAATAAATAAATTGTGACCGCAAAACATAATCAATCAAATTAATGCAATTCTTAATTTGAATCTCAATCGAATTATCAGGAAGGGTTTCCATTGGTGGAGCACTTGGAGTTGTTATTACTTGTGCAGTTGTGTTACTTAATCTATTTGTGACTTGCATATGCGCAGATGATGTACTGGTTTCGCAAAGTTTTATAATCTTTGCTGCATTATTACGAATATTTTTTTGTAAATTTACCATTTGTGACCTCATTGCTTCAGAAATCCCTGAATGTACTATCGTTGGATTTGGATTCAACACATTGGCATTCGTTGCTGCCATCTGAACACCCTGATTTTGCAATATTTTAAAAAAATTTGGATTAATTTTATTGTTAGTCGTCGTCATAGCAACCGTATTTGCTGATATATCTCGATATGAAGCAGTGGCTCTATTGCTAGCAGTGCTAGCAGAGAATGGAATCAATGGCGGATTAGATATTAGTAATGAATGTATTGAACAGTTCGATACAAGACGCATATTTTGATCTCCACACAACGCACATTGTCCGGTAGATTTGCTGAAGCAGCCAGAACAAATCAAATGTCCATTTCCACACAGATAACCTTTGAAGGTTTGAAGAGTTGAACCAATCATAGTCCTACAGTTTTCACAATACATATTACTCGTGAAAATTTTTACTGGAGATGTTGGCGGTCACAATACAAAATTTTGAAAGAAAGACAAAGCCCACGATTTTAATTTAATGAAACAGATACACACATTATTTTTTTTTTTTATTAATTAAAACTTAAAAATGAAAATTATATTTTTTTTAAAAATCAACTATAATAATTAAATTTCAATTTTTCAAATGTTCCTAGATGATAACAATTTCAAAATATTTTTCGATTTCAAAAAACACGTAGCTTTTATGAAATTTTTATAGATAAAAAAAAATTTAAATAATTATTTTGGTAAGACTAAGTTCATTGTGACCCGTGTTGAGAAAAATCCTAATACATCGAATGTTCTTAGATGATAACAATTTCAAAATATTTCCCCATTTTATAAATACGTAGCTTTTATAAAAATTTTATAGATGAGAAAAAATTTAGATAATTATTTTAATATATTTTTTTTAATAATGCAAAGTTCCCAATCTTTTGATTAATGTTAGACCTACAGAACGCAGAGCGCACACAGATGAAACTATCGCCGTCGTTGTGACCCGTGTTGAGAAAAATCCTTATTCATCGATTCGATGTACTTGATATCTGCTGATTAATATGGAAGAAGGTTTTATGCAAGGATGTTAGCTGCTTGCTTGATTGTATAAGGATGTATATTGTACAAAGAAACGACCATCTCATATATTGTGACCAGTGTATCGGTTAAAAGATAATTTACATTTTTACCACAAATCTTATTCAACAATAAAACTCCCCTCTCTACTTCAATATCTGTATCAATTATAAAACTCGGCAAATGTGAAGAAAGATTTACATCATAAAACTTCATTCAAATTTTTATTGCAAAAAAGTGTTTATGTTATATAAAACAATTGTTTATTTCTAAAAAAATGTATGAAACGGTATCCTCTCTCTCTCTTTCTCTCCCTCTCCCTCTCTCTTTCTCTCCCTCTCTTTTTCTCTCCCTCTCTCTTTCTCTCACTCTCTCTGTTGATCAAGGACCAAAAATAAAAATATTCTATTGTTGCCCACAAATATATGTTAAAACTATATAAAATTATTAATTACACATTGTGTATATGTGTGTATATGAGAATATATAATTCTCATTTACTATAAGGCACAATTCCTATAAAGGTATATTAGTTTATTTAGGAAGTTATCTTATTTTAATATAATTGCGTAGATCAATGGGTATTTAAAACCATTAAATTGTTGAATTCGATAACCATCTTTTATGAGACGGTTGGGATAAGTCCTATACCATTTGAAATGCATTTAATACACCATCTCGATGGAGTTTTTTGTTGTTTGAAATATTATAGTCACGGTTGCCACTTATGGTACTTTAGTACCAAAATTGGTACTTTTTTTTCCGTTTGGTATTCTGGTACTCATGTTCAAAAAATGGCACATTTTCGGCGACCCAATTTTATTGTGGATATTGTATTGTTTTATACTTTTTGTACATTTTATATAAATTGTATTTTCTTATAAAAAGACAATAGAAAAATTTTGGACCTTTTTTTACAGAAATGGTACCTTTTTAAACCAATTTTGGTACAGAAAAATATTTTCAAGTGGCAACCGTGATTATAGTTTATTGCTTTATCACCTATTTACTAATACAACCATAACATTGTCATTACATATTGCTTAATGATATGGCTTTGTAAGAATTATAGAAAATTACTTGTAATTCTTATTAAATAAAGAGAATTCTTCAATACCGGTCTATTATTAATATTAAGGTCAGTTGTGTTGCTTTAATACAAAACAGAGTCTTTATAGCCTTTGACTCAGGTATCGAACTCAGAAAAAAATGAACAATTGTTTCAAGATTTCAGTTAAACTATACGAGGCAGAGCTATTTTCAACAGATAGAATTTTTTCTGCTAACTCTAGATATCTATTTAGTTTTGTTTTTTTTATATTAATAAAGAACTATTGGTTCACTAACATAGTAATTTTTTCATAACTGCATAATTTAGTTTCAAATAATAAACCTTGGAAAACAAAAAATAATTTCAGAAGATAATAGGGTCAAGATAATAGGGAAGATAATAGGTGACCTAATTCTCAGGATGGTTTCCTAAGCATTACTATACAAGCATTTATGACTTTTCATACCTTATATACATAGCATTTACCTAATTATAGTGACAGTCAGTTAATTACAGACGATGATAGGGTTAATAATCAATTATATGGTAACTCTTATACACGGTTGCCACTTGAAAATTTTTTTCTGTACTAAAATTGGTATAAAAAGGTACCATTTCTGTAAAAAAAGGTCTATTGGTCTATTTTTATTATTTTTTCATCAGTCTATTTTCTATTGTCTTTTTATAAGAAAATACAATTTATATAAAATGTACAAAAAGTATAAAACAATACAAGTTACATTTATAAAAAAAATTAATTGAAAATATCCACAATAAAGTTGGGTCGCCGAAAATGTACCATTTTTTGAACATGAGTACCAGAGTACCAAACGGAAAAAAAAGTACCAATTTTGGTACTAAAGTACCATAAGTGGCAACCGTGCTCTTATACATAAAGCAGTCGACTTAAACTAATTCTCAGTATGGTTTCCTAACCATCAATATATAAGCATTTATAATTTTGTCTACCTTACATACTTAGCATTTACTTAATTATAGTGACAATCAGCCAGATTGACCAACACATATATACCCGAACTCATTGTGATGTGTCTGGGATGTACTTCAAATATTAAATATGTGTCAATTTTTTGATCTAATTTTTAATCAACAAAATTGTTCAATCTAAAATGAATTAATATTAATAAATAAATCAGTAGATACTTTAGTATAGCAAAAAGTTTTCATTTAGCTTATGTTAAATTGCAACTGCAAACAAGTGCCCGCTGCGTAAACATGAATGAATTTGGAATGTACGCTGAAGTAATGGATCCATGCTTAGTCTGCGATACATGAACGAAAATTTCCAGCCCGAAGGCAGTCAACAAACGGACAGACTGAAATGTTGATAAATTTGTGTACTTAAATGCGATTGCTGCTACGCCTCGCTCAACTTCAAGCTCTGCCATGACATCATAGACGTACACAGTCCACACAACACAATCCGTTGATTGGGACACAATCCGTTTTGGAAGCAATGGAAACTGATATTGACATTATATTGACAGGGTCTGGCACATGCAAAACTCAAATTTGGGTTAATTTTTAAATTGTGCAAAAATTTGTGCAAATAAAAAATTTTTTAATTTTTCAAATAGTATTTGAAGCTGTTTAATTTTTAAATGTTTTGCCTGTTCAATTTAGAAATTCACCAATAGATCAATTGTTCCTTCAATCATAATTTCTGGCTTAATTTAGACGAGAATGCGCTGCAAACTATTTGAAATTATTTGTCAATTTTATGTGTGAAATAAATTTATTCAAATTAATTAATTAATAAAAGTAAGCGATATTAGAAAGAAAAATAATAGAGAAAAAATTAAAAACAGCATTTGATGCAAATTCAATGAAAAAAGTTTAGTGATCAATCATTTTTATGGAGTGGCATTTGAGTTTCTTTGAAGATTTGAGATACGAATATGTCAGCAGCTCAGATGAAAGCAAGCGCCATATACTCGTAGCTCGAAGGGAGCATGGGAAAGCTAATTTCGTAAGCAATTTATGCAATTTACTGTCATCGAAATAATTAGATACAATATTGATGAGATCTTGAGTTTTTATCTCTTTGTGAATTAACAATTTGTTTATGTGACGTACATATTTTAGAATTTTACTTTCTGTTCCATGTATTATGGTATGTTTGTTTGTATTTCATGTCGACTGCTTGGCTACTTCCTGATTAAAAGCACTTTTTAAATAAATATATACATCACAGATATTATTTGTTTATATAGTTAATGTAAACGACTTATTTGCTTATTAGTTAAAAATGTTTTTGATCTTAAACACAGGAAAAGAAATAAGTGCTGTATTTAACACTATTTCCTTCATTAAATGATTCGCATAGTCTTCTGTATTAAAAAATATCTATCTAAAATTTTTGACTATATAAATATATTTGTGTATTTTAATATAGTATATTATATATATATAGTATACTAGCTGACCCGGCGAACGTTGTTTCCCCTTGCAATTAATTTTCCTGGCGTTCGTTGCGTTGCTCTTGACTTTCATTAGCACGTGTAATTGTATCCTGGTTTCTTACATCTTCATTGTTTTCTGCCGATCTATTTAACCGACGGTTCTGGAGTAATTGTGAATTCCGAGTCCGTCGACCAATATTTCCTCCTCGTCCACGAAGACGTGGCATTGTTTTTTGTACGATATTTATATCTTTATATATATAATTCTTCTTTTTTGTGTGTTGAATTTTTGAATTCGCTAAATTTACCAGGAATACCACCACATAACTTAAGATTAAAAATTGGCTCACCTATAATTATGCTGCGGAATTTAAATGCACTTAAGCGATGCAACGTCAGTTTAACAATTCATTTTAGAGATTTTAAAGTTTTTAAACAAATCAAAGTAAGCATGAATATATTTTAAATTTTTAATATAAATGTATATGGATACCAAAAAATAAAAAATTGATTAAAAAGACATTATCCAGTGGGCCAAATTGTGAATCTAAACCTTCCTTGAATCCACTTGAACACACACAAAAAATTTCAATAAAATCGGTTCAGCCGTTTAGGAGGAGTTCACTGTCAACACACGTACAGAAGAATTATATATATAAGATTAGAACAACGGACATGCATAGAGATCTAAGAATCGACTCAGTGAAAAAATATATCAAGGACAGAGCCCTAAAACTATTCACAAAAGTTGATACGTTGCCCAACCCCGCCCTAACAAACCTTAAGTCCACCTCAGGACGCACAGGAAGATATGCTGATCTACGGTCTGTCATCAGTTAAAAGATAAGTAAATGATAATGATTCTAGTGTAGTTAAAGTTTAGTATAAGGCAGTGATAAAACCCCAAACCACAAAAGAGTAAAAGTGCGCAATAGCACTAACTCCAATCACAACAACAACAACAATATACTATATACTATCAACACTATCAACAATATACTATCAACATTATAA